AATTGTTAGATCTCTCCTCAGTCTTCTTTTCTCCAGACTAACAGACCCCATTTTTTCAATCTTCCCTCATAGGTCATGTTTTCTAGACCTTTAAAAAATTTTGTTGCCCTTCTCCAGACTTTCTCCAATTTTTCCATATCTGAAACGTGGCACCCAGAACTGGACACAATATTCCAGTTGAGGCATAATCAGTGCAGAGTAGAGCGGAAGATGTACTTCTCATGTCTTGCTTACAACACTCCTGCTAATACATCCCAGAATGATATTTGCTTTTTTTTGCAACAGTGTTACACTGTTGACTCATATTTAGCTTGTGATCCACTATGACCACCAAATCCCTTTCCACAGTACTCCTTCCTAAGCAGTATTTTGTATGTGTGCAACCAACTGTTCCTTCTTAAGTGGAGTACTTTGCATTTGTCCTTATTGAATTTCATCCTATTTACTTCAGACCATTTCTCCAGATCATTTTGAATTTTAATCCTATCCTCCAAGACACTTGCAACCCCTCCCACCATGGTATCATCTGTAAACTTTATAAGCATACTCTTTATGCCAGTATCTAAATCACTGATGACAATACTGAACAGAACCAGACCCAGAACTGATCCCTGAAGGACCTCACTCGATATGCTCTTTCAGTTTGACTGAGAACCACTGATAATTCCGGGAATGGTTTTCCAACCAGTTTTGCACCCACCTTATAGAAGCTCCATCTAGGTTGCATTTCTCTAGTTTATGAGAAGATCATGCGAGATATTATCGAAAGCCTTACTAAAGTCAAGATATACCACATCTACCACTTCCCCCAACCACAAGGCTTGTCAAAGAAAGCTATTAGGTTGGTTTGACATGATTTGTTCTCGATAAATACATGCTGACTGTTACTTATCACCTTATTATCTTCTAGGTCTTCGCAAATTGATTTCTTAATTATTTGCTCCATTATTTTTCCGGGTACTGAAGTTAAGCTGATTGGTCTGTAACTCCCCAGGTTGTCCTTACTCCCCTTTATATACATGGACAAATATTGTGCCATTTTCCAGTCCTCTGGAATCACTCCTGTCTTCCATGACTTTTTGAAGATAATTGCTAATGGTTCATTTATCTCCTCTGTCAGCTCCTTGAGTATTCTAGGATCTATTTCATCAGACCCTGGTGACTTGAAGGCATCTAACTTGTCTAAGTAATATTTAACTTGTTCTTTCCCTATTTTAGCCTCTGATCTTACTTCATTTTCACTGACGTTTACTATGTTAAATGTCCAATTGTTACTAATTTTTTTTGGTGAATACTGAAACAAAAAAGCCATTTAGCACTTCTTCCATTTCTACATTTTCTGTTACCGTTTCCCCACTTCATTGAGTAACAGGCATACCCAGTCCTTGGTCTTCCTCTTGCTTCTAATGTATTTGTAGAATGTCTTCTTGTTACCCTTTATGTCTCTAGCTAATTTTATCTCGTTTTGTGCCTTGGCCTTTCTAATTTTGTCCCTACATACTTGTGTTATTTGTTTATATTCATCCTCTGTAGTTTGATCTAGTTTCCACTTTTTCTAGGACTCTTTTTTGAGTTTCAGATCATTGAAGATCTCCCAGTTAAGCTAGGGTGGTCTCCTACCATACTTCCTATCTTTCCTACGCAGTGGGATAGTTTGCTCGTGCCCTTAATAATGTCTCTTTGAAAAACTGACAACTCTCTTGAACTGTTTTTCCCTTTAGAATACCTGGTGTTGTGAAGGATGAAGGTTTTACTGGCATGAGTTTGAGATGATCACATCATTCACCAGTGGCAAAGCTGTAAGCAAATAATATAGGTTGTTCCAAATGCATGCCAATAAAACTTTGATGTCACTCCATACCATGATATGTTCTGTATGCCCCACATTATTAAAATATGCTTTCTTTAAAATGTTTTAGAGGAGTTTAAAAAATGATTATTGGGACTTTTTTATTCATCCAACTGTAAAGCCATATGCCTCCATTGCCATAAATGCAGCTGTACGGGATTCAAAAGGGGAAAGAAATTAAAACTATTACATTAAAAATACCTCCAAAAATGGCCTAAATAGCTTTTCTTTACAAAAATTGGTCACTCCTTTAAATCCAAATTCTGTAATCAACTGGAAAACTAAGAATCTCCCCTTCCCAAACGTATAATGTTTCCATTTCTATCTCTGCATGACAGTGAAATGTAAATTTATGATATTTTATGTTTAGAAAAACTGTTACTGGCCCACCTATCTTGGAGCTCAGGCAAGGGTAATCTGAGGAGGGAGAGGAGGAAATTCCACATTTGGAAGCAAAAGGAGGAAACGCTTTTGTGGTAGGGTGAGCTGCAACAAAATGGGGGTGATTTGAAGCTGCTCATGAGTTTGGAATGTCAGAACAATTCCCAAGAGACGGCTTAGTTGGCAGTGATGTGGTCATAAGCATGTGATAAATTGTACAGGCAATTTTATCATATGAATAGCACATAGGCATATTATTAAATAGGCAAATGTAATTTCATTTGAATTTGCATGCCTGAAATCAAAACTAAGATCTGAATAACTAAATACATTAATTTTGTTCTACATTACTAGTTTTCTTCTAAAAACTTTTTTTAGCCAGTAAATCAGAAAATAACTACAAATACTTAAAGGAAAATCTTGCCCTTTCATAAAGGACATGAGTAGGGGACAGACATGCCACTTTAGCACTTTACATAATGCTGTCATGTAGTTATAGGGCAAGGTAGCACAGGCAGCTGCTAGACACTGTTCTTCCTTTTGATTGAGGCAGCAGATGCTCCTGGCTAGTGTATGCTCCATCGACCAGGTAGTTGTCAGTGGGCAATGGACACACCCTCTATCTAACAGTCAGCATCCCTTTGGAACTGTGGTGCGCAGGCCAACTCAACGCCACATAGTCTTCAGCCCTAGGCAGAGGTCCTGGACCAACTACTTGCACAGGGAGGAAGAGATTCCCTATGTTTTCTTCCCCTCTCTCCACCTTGTGCAACAGCACAACAGAGGTTAGGATCTAGCCCTTATCCAATACCACAATATTAAATAATGCAATACTGAAAAATTCTCAGTAAGGAAAACAGGAAAGAAGGAATGATATGGCAAAGATTGAGCATAACGCTCAAATATGCAGTTCAGAACCTGTATTATTGTTAATTTGTAGTTGATCTTCTCATTCATCAGTAAAGTATTATAGGTACATACATTTTAAAAATATGGAGATAAGTTATTTAAAGAAGGATTTACTAATGGTGTTTATCCTTTAATGCTCTAGTTGACAACCGCCTGAGAGAGCTGTACCTTTGCCTGTCATTTTCAGAGGACAAAGGGTCTTGGAATGATGTTCTAACTACCCTGATTCTCTAAGGAGTCATTTTCCTTTACGATCCAGAAGCCTCTCTTTGCAAACTAAATTGGATGTGGGTCCAAAGATTCTGTGGTAAACACACTTCACCACCTTCCATTCCCAGCACTCTAATGTAAGCACACAGCTGCATTTATATATTTTAAAAAACTACCAAAGCAAAACACTACACCGCCCTCAAAGAGGATGAGAGAAAAGAGGAGACCCACATTACATTGTCTAATACATCAGTGGAAGCACTGCGATACTACAATACCGAATGAGGAAGATATAAATACCTATTTAGAAAAGAATAAAAGCTGAATCTTGTGTTTCCGTGTCCACATTATGGATTGCTAGCTTTCCAGTGCACAGCTAGAGTTGAGTAGAATTTTTAAATGATGTCACTAAGTCTGTGGCTTAACCTCAAGGCCATTGTTTCAAATGTTGTCAGTAGTAAGGTAACTGAAAATCATTACCATCTAACAGCTGTTTGGTGGCCTATGTAAAGTAATAATGCCTTACTTTTCTATAGCATTTTTCTTCAGAAGGTTCCCAAATTACTTCATAGACTGTACATAAGATTAATTTAATCCACTAATGAAATACAGTTAATCTACCCCAATGACACTATACAAACATTTGTGTGTGGGGGATAAATATAGGGGATTTAGACAGACAAAATTAGCCAGCTGTGACAGTCCAATGCCTAGTAACAGGTTTCACAACCATCATTAATTGGTACCCATGGTAGCCATTTTAGAGATGCTAGCAACTGACAGAGCATTGAATTGATCTATAGTAGAACCTCAGAATTATGAACACCTCAGGAATGGAGGTTGTTCATAACTCTGAAATGTTTGTAACTCTGAACAAAATGTTATGGTTGTTCTTGCAAAAGTTTACAACTGAACATTGACTTAACACAGCTTTGAAACTTTACTATGCAGAAGAAAAAGGCTGCTTTTAACCATCTTAATTTAAATGAAACAAACACAGAAACAGTTCCCTGACCTTGTCAAAAAAAATTTAAACTTTCCCTTTATTTTTTAGTAGTTTACATTTAACACAGTACTGTACTGTTTTTTTTTTTTTGTTTTTTTTTGTCTCTGCTGCTGTCCGACTGCATATTTGTGGTTCCAAATGAGGTGTGTGATTGAGTGGTCAGTTCGTAACTCTGCTGTTCATAACTCTGAGGTTCTACTGTACTGTTTCAGTCTAGTGCTGGTCACTGCCGACCAGGAACGCAATGGAGAGGGGAACCTTGTACTGACACTTCTAAGAATGGAAGACATCACTCTTCAGAGCTGTAAATCCAGCATCTTTCCCAAGAACTAACTTCAAATTAAACACATTGTAAGTGGCAGAAAACCCAGAAGAGGACAATACTTCCTAAAGAAGAAAATGGTAACATTCAAAAAGAAGGTTGCTTTTTAAAATCTGATACTTGACTGAATAATATACTGTGATACAATTCAAATACAAAATGTTATGACTTTCACAAAGAATACTATTTAAAACTGAGGCATCATGTGAACAGCCAGTAATATAGAATAATAAACTACACTGTGGTTAAATAACTTAGTTCTTGTTTTGTGGGCTATTTGGGAGAATCATTTGTAAAATTCAGAATTTTTAAATGGCACCTACCTGTCAGTGAGGCTCCTCCATAGCTGTGCACCTGAAATAAGCAAAGCATAAAATGAAAAATAGCACTGATATATACAGCAGAACTGTTTTTTTCCCTTCCATTTTTCAACAGTGCTCCAAATTACAGAAGAATTACGCTAAAAATCTCTGTAGTTCTATAATACAAGTCACATTTACCCATATTACTAGTAAAAAAATCATTCACTCTTTCCATTTTAAACAATGGAGTAACATGCTTCAGAAAATCAACATGTTTTCTATAAACTTGATATCTCAAAACAGTTTAAAATATTCATGAAAAATCAATGTACTTATTTAACCTGGTCTGTCTTTAAACTAGAATGATTAGATACCCAATGTAATCTAATTTTGCAATCCAAAAGTGTGACAATCACTTTCTGTATTTGTCATTATACTATAACAATTTTGCCATCTAGTGGTTGGCTAGAGTTAAATAAAAGTTATTCTCCCACGAAGAGCTAACAGATTTTCTCTTTTAGTTCAAGTGGTAATTTGTTGATTTCAGATCTAAAAAGGTTTCTGGTTCAAGCTAAAAGACAGATTCTTCATGAGAGTACTCAATTAGTAGTTTTGGACTTTCCTGAACTCTTCCTCTGAAGTCACTGGAGACATTTTATATTAGCTCAGGTGAAATATGACTATCCAATGATTTCACAGTTAGCGACATATAGCTTTATTGGCCTTATCTAACACTGCTGGAATGCCAAATAATAAAAATAGAGTACACTCTTGTACTTCCAATCAGATCAGTAATATTTGGTGCCAAAAATGATTAGATGGTACTCATAAACCTTGTAACATAACAGAAAACAAAAAGGCCTCAGTAATCTGAAGAAGCAGCACAAATAGGAAATATACTTCCTTACTCTTCTGCTGCTTTTTAGGGTATGCTTATACTGCAATGTAAATCCAGGGATAGCAGAACTTGGGTTGGCAGACTCAAGATTTTATCAGCCTAGGGCTTGAGCATCTATACTCATTTGTAACCCCAGGTTCAAAACTGTTGAACCCTGGATCCCAATCTGGGGCTCCGGTGCCTACACTGCATTATGTGGGCCTGAGTCCAACCACTCATATCCCAGACTTCTTAGTGCGCCTCTCCCCCCACCGCCCCAAATGTGACTGCTCTAATTCTTTGTTCATGGTGCAGTGTGAGAAAACATGACTGTTCACCAAGCCTGACTATCTCGGAGGACAAAGAAAGTTGGTCTCTGGGATTGTGGAATACTTTTGGCATACTCCCACAGCACAAATCCGGTGGGGCTGAATCTACAAGGTTAAGCAATAGGACTTGAACCTAGATTCCCAGCTTAACTCAGGCTCAGACCCTCCACTCCCATAGGTATGTCTACACAGCAAAGAAAAACCTGTGGCGGGCAGGGGGGAAGGTCCAGAGCCTGGGCTCCAGCCCAAGCCTTGAAGTCTACATAGCAATGAAACAGCCCCGCAGCCTGAGCCCAAGACAGCTGGCATGGTCCAGCTGTGGGTTTTTCTTTGCTGTGTAGATATACCCATAAAATCCTGGGACGCTGGGTCCAAGCCCTGGGTCACAGTGATTTGTGTGTAGATGCAAGTGGGGTTAGGCTTGAGCCTGAGTTTGAACCTTGGGCTTACACTGTAGGGTAAACATACCTTTAGAGACTTTTTAGACACTTTGCAGGAAACAAGAGTCATGAAAAATGGGCAATGACATAATGAGTACAACTTTATTTTCAAGTGATTTTTCAGAGTAGAATTTCCTTTTAAAATTTCTTCAGAGATTATTAGTCACTTGTCTCAGAAATGTTACACATTTAGTGCTCTTACTACGACACATTACACACTCACAAAAATTAAACAAAAAATAGGGGCACCAGTAGGATGAGAGCCAGCATAGGCAAATATTTGTAAGTTAAAGGTAAATTACGATACTAATGATTTCCTTACCTTTTATCCGAGACAATACCATATCCTTCATTATCTGCATAATTACAACCCCAAGTATTATGAGAGAAGTCAGCTGATATACTCTCCAAGGGGTCAGTGCAAGGAACCTAGGATATATTAAAAAAAAAATCACTCTAAATGTTTTAACTTATAGTACAGACTTACTTTATATAGGACCATGATTGTACCCAAACCTGAATAACCAAGTACAAACAAAATAAATGTATATTGACATTGCTTTAATAGTTCCACTGAATTTGCTCTTCTCAGTGTCATTTCCAAGAAGCAAACACTGAATAATAGTATAGTATGGCCATTATACCCTGGCTTAAAAAACAACAATGATATTTAAGCATCTGTTGAGCTTGATAGCGGAAACACTCTTAAAAAACAAACAAACAAAAAACAACCACCATGAAACATTTTAGCTAAGAAGCAACAAGAAAAAAACCTCAAACACAAAATATGCTCAAGTGTTCCATGGGCATTTCCACAGGTTCTAGGGGGGAAAACTTTGTAATTGAAATTGTCTAGGCATTACATCTTAGGGAGTCTTTTTTTTTTTTTTTAATTAACATGAACAAAGGGTAGGAAGGAAACAGGACAGAATGGGCTTGTTTACATGGTGTGGTAGTGCACTTCAGTGCGGTGTGAATTCTAATACACACTTGCATGCTGCACACTAACTGGCCTTCAGAGATCCTGCTGATGCACACTAAAAGTTCCTTAGTGTGCCTGAACAGCACTGTTTGAAATGGGTATTGGAGAACTTTTAATGTACACCAGCAGGGTCTACATAGGCCAATTAGCATGTGACATGCTCATGTGCATTAGAATTCATGTGCCACTGATGCACACTACCATACCCCATAGACAAGCCCTTCTGTTTGCTTATTTTTTAATACAGTATCAGCAACAACCCTAAATATCTAATCTATGGTCAGTCTAAATTCATATGGAAGTCCAATTACTTAATATGGATTGATCCAGCTTTATAGAAAGATTAGACAATTATATTGCTCAGGGTATAAAACCACAATTTCCTTTTAAAGAAATTAAGTTTTAATTATTTTTATTAATTAATTTATTATTTAATTGTTTTTCTTTTTCGTAACAAAATGGTAACCATGTCCATTCAAGAGAAGTTGGACTTAGAGCAGGGGTTCTCAAACTGGGGGTCACGACCCCTCAGGGGGTCACAAGGTTATTACATGGGGGGTCGCGAACTGTCAGCCTCCATTCCAAACCCCACTTTGCCTCCAGCATTTATAATGGTGTTAAATATGTAAAGAAGTGTTTTTAATTTAAAAAGGGGGGTTGCACACAGAGGCTTGCTATATGAAAGGGGTCACCAGTACAAATGTTTGAGAACCACTGACTTAGAGAGTGTGCATACACTGATTTACCATACTACTGCTGATCTTGATATGCAAGTATGTATAGAAACATTTCTCAAATAATTAGAATCTTCTCCTCTTTCACTGGCAGATCTTTCACTTTCCACCACTAGAGTTATCCCTACAAGAAATGATCAGAAGGTTGACAGGATCCAAGTTCACTTAGTGGAAAAAATATATTATTATACTGGAATATGTTAATGGCTCTCTACAGGAAAGTCTTTAATCTAGGAACACTAATAGACCTCATTAAAGGTGATGGGGTGTGCTATGCACCTTTCTTTTAGAATAAACAGAAGGAGCAATTTAAAGCTCCTTTACATAGTGGTAGCTGAAAACAAAGGAAGCCACTGTCCAAGACACTTGCCCACATCACGTGGCCAAATAGAAAATAAGGTATATGAACTGAGGGTTTCCCAGAGACTGGACTGATTGCTTGCAGATGTTCGAGTCTGCATGCAAGAAGCCAAAAATAAGACAAGCTTTGGTGGGAGTGAACCAAGAGACAGATCTTTTAGACAGATCTAACAGTACTTGTTAGAAAGGCACATTGGATTTCTAAGCACAGAAACTGCCTGGTGCTTGTTTCTGCTTTGTTCAGAGAGACAGGATTTTATGTACAGTCTTTGTAAATAAACTGCATTACACCAACAAAATACCTAATTCATATAATCAATTTCTCCTCCTAATGGAAACAACCCAACAAGGCCCCAAATATTAGTTAACCACTTGGGCCCAGAAGAGGGAACAATATACAGTTTTTGAAGTAAACTCACATTCTGCTTATTGAAAATAAATAAATTAGCTCCAGTTCCCAACAACCAAAAGAAGGGTGCAACATTTAAAACAATTCCATAGTATATCAGGCAGATGATTCACCCAGAATTAACCTAGTGTGCTAGATTCCTCAGTGATTACAGGCATGCGATACCAGTGATTGTCTCTTCTCTAGTGAAGATGGTACCTACGCCAACAGGAGGGTTTCTCCCATCTGTGTAGATATTCCAACTGCCCAAGAGGCAGTAGCTAGGTTAATGGGAGAATTCTCCCATTGACCTAGCACTGTATACACCAGGGGTTAGGTCTGTTTGACTGAGTTACTCAGGGCTGTGGATTTTTCACACCCGAGTGATGTGGTTATATTGACCTAATTTCCTAGTATAGACCAGGCCTCAGTGTGTCTCTCTTTCTCACACACATACAATGTGTCAACTCTGTAGGATTAGATTTCTTGTGAATAGAAAAGATTTGAATTATACAAATTAGTCACTCTGACGGTACCACAAATTGGCATTTTTGGTGTGCTTCAGCATACATGCTTGCCTGTAAGAAACTGGCAAGTGTACAGAGAATAATACCACAAGGTACACATGCACTCTCTCTGACATGCAAGTAGTAGATCTCCTTAATTCAAAACCCCTTTCCATAATGGCTCCAAAACTATGTTGTCCCAATATTTCCTCAAACAACATTTTGTACCATGAAAACATCCTTGATAAAACATGAGTATTTAATCTGGCTGCAGTGAAGACTTGCCCTGACGCCTAACTTATTGAAGAGACTGTATATGGTGTGAATGGTCCACGTTATTCCCTGAGAAAATGGGGTCTCATGACCCAGTAGTCCAAGAAAAGGTATATTTGGACCTCTAAAAGACAGTGAGCAGCCACCACTGCAAGGCACCTGGGTCCAGATTTTGAAGGGTAATTAGGCATCTGAAGATGCAGATAGGTGCCTAATGGGATTTTCAAAAGCCCTTAGGTGCTCAACTCCATTGAAGTGAATGGGATTTAGACATCTAGGTGCTTTGAAAAAAAATCTAATTAGGCATCTCTTTCCATCTTTAAGTGACTCATTACGTTTGAAAATATGTCCCTTGGTGAAGGTCTGAGAGCCATGGCCACCCCAAACACGTAGCTTGTATTGATGGGGTCATTGCTTATTTTGAGCCACAATACTTCCTGTATGATGACCTAAGCATTGCAAGCTTACACATTTCAGTGAGTCAAAGTAGTCCTAATTAATTCTAATTTTTTAGACATTTTTAAAATCAGCAGGCCCAGATAACCTGTATCCAAGAGCGTTTAAAAAGAGCTGGTTAAGAAGTTCTCTGGACTGCTAATGTTGATTCTCAAGTCCTGGATCACAGGGGAAGTTCCAAAAGACTGGAAGAAAGCTAATGTGGTGCCAAATTTTTGATGAGATTACAAGTTTGGTTGATAAAGGCAATAACGATGTAATATACTTCTGTGAGGCCTTGGATTTGGTACCACATGACTTTTGAATAAAAAATTAGCATGATACAGAATTGGCATGGCACACGTTAAACTGGCTAACTGACAGGTCTCAAAATGTAACTGTAAATGGAGCATCATTGCCGCTCAGGTGAGTCTCTAGTGGGGTCCTGCAGGGGTCAGTTTTTGGCCCTATGCTACTTAACATTTTTAGCAATGACCAGGAAGAAAAACTCATCACTCAAAGTTTTCAGATTGCACAAAAATGGGGGAATGGTAAATAATTAAGGACAGGTGCAGGGACCACAGGTCTTGAACACTTGTCCACATGGCTTTTCAGAGCTAGTAAGCTCCGTACTATCACTCAGTGACCTGCTAACTGTTGTTAGAATAGGAACTGAACTCTGACAGAAGACCTCAGTCCTGGAATCCTATGCTGCCTGATTGGTTCACAGCTTCTATATAAACCCAGCACAGAAACAGGAAGCTGTCCAAGCAACTGGGTTCTCCCTTTGCTTCCCTGGGCTGTGCCCCCTGAGATACCTGCTCCTACTGCATGCTGCTGACCTCCTGGTACCCTGGCCCTGCCTGCCTCCTGATACCCGATTTTGGTTTGCCCTCTGGCCTGTCTTGGACTCTGACCTCGTGATATTGGATCTGGCCTGACTCCTGCACCAACTACTAGGTCAGACTGCCCCCATCCTGGTCATGACACTTTGCATGGACCACTTAGGCCGCAGGAGCAATCCCAGTGCCAGCAGAATGGACCTGGCTAACCCTTTGGGAGCACTGGACACATTTGAGTGGACTACATGCCTTCAGATGGACAACCAACCCCTACAGGCCCGTGTCATCTGTCTGACCTCGGAGAGCCAGCTATTGCAGGACCAAATCGTACAGTTGCATGCTGAAAACATCACCGTCCATATATGGCTCGTACAGCCTTGTTCCCCAATACCATTGCCAGAACAGGATGATGATAATCACCAGCAAATCAGGGGTTTTATAAGACAGTGCTGCCTCTTGTTCAGGTTGCTCCTAGTCCCAATAAACCAGTCAGTTACCCCCAAATCAACTGGTACCCTAGATCTTACACCAAAGGCAGCGCTGGTAGCCAATCCAAAAAAGGAATAACTCTTATTTACAGGTTAAAGCAAGCAAAAGTTACTATCTAAATCCTAAGAGTGACAGAGTTGTAGCGATCTATCAATTAAAAGTATCTTGCACAGCAGACCCAGGAGTCAATCCCTGGGGATTTCTGGCTTCAGTTTAGAGTCTCTGGCCCTTCATAGTTCAAATGGCCAAAAAGATGGAAAATTTTCCTGTGGCTTTGTTTTATTTCCTTCATTCATCTTCCAAGCCCACAGGACTTCCTTGCATGTAGTATTTCCAAGGTGTGATAGGACCATTAACCAGTCATTTATATTGCAATAATTCTTAATGGCCTATCTGATTTTGATAGTCCTTTGGAATGAG